TTATATATATAAAATTATTGTATTGCCTTATCAATTGATTCGACTCAATATATATTTTTATGCAATTTTTTATTGGCTAAGTATGTTTATTGTGGCGTAACATTTTTTTGATCATCAATTACTCAAAATCAATTTATAGTCTCAGAATCCACTTTAATAGATCAGCTCCCATATGCTCTCTCCATAATAAAATGCCAATCATAGTCTGAATCGTTAATCTAACTAGGATGTCAAGAGCAAATGCTTATCAGCAGAGAGCAAAAGCTTTTAGCAGATTTATTTGATTTTTGCAAATGATTGTGATCCAGTATGGATGTGGTTCTGTTTCAATATCGACAAAACATATTTGCTATAGTTTTGGATCATCTTTCCAATACAATGTCATGCAAATCATAAAAACATTATGATTCAAATCAAGGACTTCAGCAAATTTGCTCAACTCTCTAATTGGATCTCTATATCCCAAGTGAGAACAAGAGTACGATCTCGTAAGAGAGCTGAAATGGGAAATCAGTCACTTATTATTATAAGATCTTTCAGTAAACAAAAATCTTTTATAGAAACATAGAATTCATGCGGACAAAGTGGGCTAGTACGCTTACCTTTCTTGTTTATATATTTGTTTATTGTAGACCATCCAGAGAGTTGGATTCCATTTTCTTGAGTCACCTTTCAGTGAAATAAGTATAAATCATGTGAAGCAGTTTCGAAATTATTTTCTTAGATAGCTTGGATGGCTTTTTTTCTCTTTTCAATACTATTTGTATAAATTCATAAATATGACTTTTTTTTGGTATAATAACCCCGAAAAGGGAAAGCTTTAATATGCTTCATTTTAAATAATTTCACAATGTCAGAGAGAATTTTGCTTACTTTTCTTCACATTCATCTGGAGTCTCTCTATCTGATACAAGAATGTCAAAGAAAATTTGAACTTCTATAAGAGTTACCAGTGTCTTTTGGCCATTAATAAGGCGATCATAAAGACGTAATACATAACGGTACATTTCATTTATCTTTTTTGTTAATCCTTCATTCTCAATGGCCATGAATGGAATATCTTATTGTTTAGATAAAGTATCTTTAAGGATTAAAGATAATACCTCATCATTTCCTACAACTATATCATCTAGCATTTGTATGTCTGACAAGTTTTTTTCACCGGAATAGTGAATCAGTTGGCTTTCCATTTTATTTTGTTCAGCCTTTGGGTGAAAAAAGGCGGATGTTGAGAAACTCTGAAAGCTCAGATTAGATCATGATAAGATGTCACAAATATACAGTTTGAGAGAAAGTATATATTCTGGGAGAAAAAAGTTTAAAGTAAAAATTAATTCAAAATATATAAATCGATATATAAACTAACTAATCATAGATATCAAAAAATGGCATTTTATCGATGTTTTTATATTCTCAGGAGTAGTGAAGTTTGCAATTGGGGATGCTACTGACTGGAAGGGTATCAAATTCATTGGAATTTTCTCTCACATGTATCTTGTAATGAATGCAGTAAATTAACTTTTTTCAAATATGGCACTTGTGATATTCATGCTAGAAAGTACTGTAAAATGGAACAGTACTACTGGCTGACTTATCTTCGATACAAGGACTGGTAGGCAATTAAGTATAGATAGAAGCATTCTGATCATAAAAAGAATTTTACGGTTTTTCCAATTTCTTGATGACACTCTTGATGACAAAATTTATAGCTAATTTGTATTTTTAGAGCTATCAAAAAGTTTTCAGGTAGGTGTCACTAAGGTTGCTTGTCTAAACTCATTTTGGATTTGACAAAATGGTTAAACCTTTAGTTTCGCTAAATTTTTACTAAGTGTTTGATATAGTTTCGCCATTTTTATAAGCTTTGATATAGTTTTACCTTTTTTCAAATTGCGCAGATTTTTTAATAAGGTTTTAATATAATTTAACCAAGTTTACTTTTACCATTTAGACATCTGTTTAAACTCTTGATTTCGTACAGCAACCTTAGGTGTCACCTTATTACTAAGAGTCACTAAGAAAAATCTGAGTTTATTAACTTTTTTTATTTTTTTAGCTGATCGTTAACAGTTTTTATATCACTCACAAGTTAATAAGCTTAAAAATGAAAATACTAGACTTAAAAATGTGACTAGCTGTCAGGAGATTGAAAAGCAGAATGAAATAATAAGTTCTAGCAAAGTGTTTTATTCTAATACTGATCAATTCATAATAGATTATATTTTAACATAGTCTGAAGACATTCTTTGCAAACAAATATGTTGCATTACTTTATATCAGGATTATCTTGCTTGGTATGAAAAAATAATAAGCAAGCATTAAGTAATAATTATCTTGGTAAAAAATTCTCACAAATGGATATTGACCATAAACAAATACGAGTAAGTGGTGGCAATAGAGAATGGCAATAAAAATTAGATTGATCTAAAATTATAAGCAAAATACATGGTATTACATTTGATAACTAATAGCTATTAATAGTTACAGAGATATTCAAATTGCAATAAATTATGATGCAATTTAGGCAACAGTTGCCTGTATTCAAATGATATCAAGATTATGGATCCTCAAATCACATGTCACTAAGATCAGCTAGAGTTATACTATAAAGCTGGCAAAAATTAATTGCAAATCTATTGTGCTACCCAACGCATTTTTTTATCACAATTTAATATTTAAACAGGAAATCAAAGAGACGCAAAAAAAAAGTATTCTCAATATCTTAACAGGTCACTAAATAGGCTCAAAAGTAGATAAACAAATGGATAAAATGGATAGCTCTTTAAGAATAAAAAGAATACAGAGTAATGTAAACATATGGATAGTTTCTTGATAAAAGAAAGGTCATAGATAAGCGAGAAAATATACTCAATCAGATTATACTACTACCGTTAGATTATATAATAACCACACTAATAGATCATGATACTATTGACCTACTATAGCACTATATAGCAGGAATTAATTAAAATAGTAATTAGAAAGTTGTAAAGATAACCAAACCATAGGTTATGAAACTACTTGTAGATTATGGCATCATATCAGATTATGACATCAGGTAATGATGCCACCAATAGATTATGACATTAGAACATACTACTATTAGATTATGACACCACTATTAGATTACATTACCACCATTAGATTATGTCATCACCGTCATAATCTAATTCAAGTTGTTGGAGAATCTTTGATATAATTATATCAAAGATTCTCTAACGACTTAATTTATAATGTGATTTTACTAGAAACATTCCTATATACTTTTCATTAATAATAAGAAAATCATAAATAATATAAATATATAAATAATATATTTAATACTAAAAGATGTATAGAGTAAAATAAATACATGAATAACTACACAGCTATAAAAGAGTATAAAGTAATATAAATTTTATTGATAGTTTTTTACAATAAAGGATCTAAGAATGCTGTATTTATAATCATATAATATATGATATATCATTATTTAAATACATATTTTATTAATAAAGTATTAACCTTTTAAATTTTAAATTTAATTATAATTTTTTAAAAAAAAAATTTTACTAATTATAATAAAAATTATTTTTTGATATTATTTAGAAAACTTTATAACTTTTTATTTAAAAAATGAATTAAATACATAAATTGACTGAAAAAAAAGACTATAAATGATAAAGAATTTATTTTAAGATTGTAATAAATATGATTCTGTAATCTATATGATCAATATATTTTGATTTTTTTATATTAGTTGATATCTGTTATGCTTTTTATTACAAAACATATTAATAGTATTACAATAAAAACAAAGGCTTTTATCTTTTGTTATCATTTAAAGAACTTACGCAATATGACTTAATATTATACCAATTGCTATATCGACCAATATTATTAATTTATATTATTTATATTATTTATTATATATTATTTATATATAGAGTATAATATAATATAAATGAATAAATATTATTACATAAATTATGACGGTTTGTGCCGAAAATGGAAATAAAAAAATCAACACAACATCACGATTTTGCAAAATAGGAAAAGCCTCAAGCCAAAATTGGTTTGATGGGGTTATACAATTAGATTTTAATAACTTTCATACAGAAAAACGAAGAATTTTTACTGTCCCGTCTCCCTTACATAATTCTACCCTGTCTCTACAACTAATACGACCCCGGCTCATCAATCACCAATTTGGAACATCTACTAAGGTACTTGTATCATCTATCATTTATAGCTACACAATACGCCAACTTCTATATTCAAGTACATCCTTGCCTACCGTTCTATAAAAATCGAATAGTATCTATCCATCGATTCGAAGATGTTAGGCAGGTGCTATCAATATTATTTTTTTTTAAAAAAAAAAAGGCAGACCGACCATTTTTGGAAGAAAACCTCTTTTATGCCGGTAATTATGTTTTACAATGTAGAGTAAATTTCACCTTTCAAAGAGAAGGGAAAGGGACCAAGTAGATCTATAACACACGAAGAGCGAGGACCCAAAGGGAGGGGTCATAAATAATAACAATAATTTCCAAATATGTAATATTTACGGATTTCTTTTATTGAATAAAAATTTATTAAATTTATTAATGATTTGATTTGTACTCATTAAAGCATCGTGAAAACATACAGCAAGCCATAGTTATTTAATTAACTTTATTATCTTCAAAATTTTTAGGGGTAATTGATAATATCTATTTCTTTTGTGTACAATGATTACGCGTGCTATATACAATTATAATATTGCTAATTAAGTTTATTTTTTTTAAATTATGAAATTTTTTTTTTTAAATGGTGTATCATTAATTATTTATTATGAATGCACAAGATTCATCATGTAATAAAAATCTGTCATAAAAATTTACGTAATCGTATATAGGAAATCATCGATCTGACAAGCGCAGTCCGTCATGACTTACATGGCTTGACACCGTCGCAATTTTTTTTTTAATACCATATTTAGAAAGTGATAAATAAATATTTGACAAACAAAAGTAACGAAATTGGAACTTGAGAACTCGTGTTTTAATGGATCTTCCTAATTTTTTTTTTTCAAGGATTTTCATTGTTTGTGAAAATTAATTTGAAAAAAAAAAGGTCAAGAGAAAAAAAAAGGAAAGAGAAAAATGTGTTTTAAAAAAAATATAAATTTTCAAATGAGATTTTCAAAGATTTTCCATAAACTTATTAGTTTTATTTTTATAGATTCCCATTATAAATAGAAATTTTAAATTATTAATAACCTGTCGATTACTTGGTAGGAAAACTTGTTTATTGTAATTGTTGATGATCTTGAAAAAACTTTCTTCATTATTATCAAATGTGTTTGTGTACTGAAGGGTGATGTCAAATGAAGAACTTTGATGAGACAGTCATCAACCTTGTCACCGTTTTAGAATAAGATCGACCTAAGATCAAAGATTTAAAAAAAACCCTTTTTTTCATTCTTGGAATTTATCGACCTTCCAAACTTTGTATTGTGCTTTGTATAGAAAATATGCGGATCAACGATACATTATCAAACTCATGCTAAATATAAATGGTTGGGCTTACGCATGGTAAGACGAGAGATTTTCGATAAATTTCGAAAGAAACAAATAATGTATGCCAAGGTTAAGTTGAAAGGTTACAACATGTGGCTTTTGAAAGATTGCAATTTTTGTAACATTTATTTGTGGAGAAATGAAAAACGGTTGTAACATTGTCAAAAATGAGAATATTCTAATTAAAACAAAAAACTTCTATTTATTTGTCTGATTTAAAATGTTAAATACTATAACCGGCTAACATCATATTATTATTGTTGTTGTCAGGTATTAATTGTGTAGTGTGATTTAATATGTCATCATTTCTCAATGATAGAATTTCAAAGCGGAAAAACTTAAGAATTATCTTTTTTTGTTATTTTTTTTTTTTTTTTTTTTAACAAAATAGCTCATTATACAAACTGGTATTCGAACTCAGTACCTTTTCAAATACTTGAAATTTCTAAAAAAAAAATTTAATCGAGAACCAATGAATAATAAGTGATCCAGCCAAATTTCCCAAA